AATTTGTCTTTTGATTTTATAGAGGCTTACAGTTAAGATATTTACCTGAGTCCACTTTGGACTGTTAACTTTTGCATAGTATTGAAACTAATGACTATTGGGACTTTTAAAGTTGGACTAAATGCATTTTGCATTTTCTATGGTCATGAGCCTACAGGGGCCAGGTGGGAATGTGGTGGTTTGAATGAAAATGTCCCCCATAGGCTCCAAGTATTTGGACATTTTGTCCCCAGATGATGGTGCTGTTTTGGGAGGTCTTAGAAGGTGTGGCTATCCTAGAGGAAGTGCATCACTGGGGTGGGCGTACAGAGTTCTAAATCCTTGCTGGATCTCCAGCTGCTCTCTTGCTTCCTGTGCCTGTGTGATGATGTAGAGCTTAGCCCCACTGCTCCTCCTCCAGCCACCTCTGCTGCCATGCCTCCCTGCCAAGACGGACTGTAAGTCCCCTGGAACCATAAGCTCAAATAAACTCTTCCTTCTATAAATTGCTTTGGTCAGTGTTTCTATCACAGCATCCCAAAAAGACTAATACAACTGTCTCCCCCCCCCCCCCCCCCCCGCCAGCTAAAGTGTCATTCAGGGCTTTACATCTGGTCAGTTTGTTCAGAAGTGCATATTTGTATGCAAGCTTACCATGTCTCCTCTGTGGTTGTGTGATGTCTTAAATTCTTAGATGTGGGTGCATGAAGATTCTCACTTCTCATTTATTCTTACTCAAATAAAGAAAAGACAATGTTTTACTTTTAGTTATTTAATTGGCCTAAGCTTGGCCACTGGATAAAGTGTGCAGTAGAGTTCATCATCCCTCACCCACTACAAATATGGTTAGTCATGGTTCCTGTGATTTCTGTTCTGTCACAGCTTTACTCTGCTGAACGGAGTTTCTCATGGCATGGTAATTTCTAGAGGGTGTCCTCTCTGGTCCTGCATCTATCTACCCGAATGAATCATATACTTTTTTTCTGTGATGTTTCATGAGAAGTCTTGCTATCTGATTGTGAAAATCACCCCCAATATATCCCATTCTTCACGTTTGTCCTGGCTCTTACTGTCTTACTCTTTCTCGCTAAAGTTAGGAAACATTTGTCAAGACACATCACAACTCTGCTGGGAATTTCATGGCGCCCACAACTAATGCAAAGATAAATGTGGGAAAATGTAATAATCTTTACTGTGTTACATCTTCTCACCTACAACTATAGCACAGCTCTCCATGTCTGCATATCTTTAGAGTCTTTAGTCTTACCATTTTCACTGTTATATATGGCATTTCTTTTCATACTATAGGTCCCGATTGTTTCCTATTGGTATATAAGAATACCACTACATTTTTTTTTTTTTTTGGTGGTAGTGGTTAGTTTTAAAACAAACTATGTAGTCCAGATTGCCTCCTGCCTAAGCCTCCATAGTATTGGGTTTCTAATCAGGGGTAACCATGCCTGGCCCATTACTTTTATATGTTGATTATCACATTATATCTGCAACTGAGTACAACGCTAAGTCCCATTATAAGTTTCCCTACATTCTTAGAATTATCAATTTTTTTTTTGTCTTTTTGAGACAGGGTCTCCCTGTAGCCTCAGCTGCCCTGGAACTCACTATGTAGATCAGGCTGGCCTTGAACTCACAGAGATCTGCACACACACACACACACACACACACACACACACACACACACACACTTATGAGTCAAGATTTTCTCCTTTTGCAAACTATCACCTGCTACAAATGGTTTTTTTTTTCATGCTTTCCTGTACAACTCTGTGGTGTGCTACACAATTTTGCTGTTTGTTTTGCTTTGTTTTAGTCCTTTTTTTTTTTTTACATGAAAGTTTGGTTTCTTTTTTGTCTATTGACCTACTGATCTATTTTTATTTCAATAATTTCCCATTTTAATTTTTATAAGTTCTTTGGCATTGCTTAAACTTACTCAATTTACATTCTTCTAACTTCAACGTTTCTTCTTTTTGGAACTTAGAACTGAGTCCTGCATATACTTCAGCAGCATGAAACATTCTAGCTGCCCTGTGTTCATGACCATTCACTTAGAAACAGCTGGCCTTTCCAACGTGACTTCCCATGTCACCCATGAGTCAAATCAGGGTGTCTTTTTAAAGTTTCCACAAACTCGTTTATGTATTTTGTTCTGAACTTTCTGTGTTGACGTTTGATTTAATCATACTAGGTCAAAGAACGAGGCTTGCATGAAGTAGATTGCTTAAAATTTACTGCAACTTTCCATATACGGTCAAGTTTTAAAAAACTTACACAGGTTTAGAGAAGAATCAAGAGTGTGTGGTAGGTGCAGGTCTATAGGTGATTCTTCAGTGTGAGCCTGTGAATACTGTGAACACAGGTCTGGAACTAGTCTGCATTTTCTGTATGACTTCTTTTTCTACATGCTATTGCTTGATTTAAATATATATCTTCCCTTCTGTGTTTTTCTGCTAAGTTAGAAACTATAGGTGATATGTGTATGTTCTTTTAGTGATTATAGTCAACTTTTTAGTTGCATCCAATACTTTAAAGTACATAATTATACTTTTCCTCTATGTGATCACAAGCTATTTCGCATTTTACTTCTAAAAGCCTTTTCAGGTTTAACCCCTACTCCCTGAAGGCTCCCAATATCCAAGTACTAGCATTTTCATTCAGGCCCATTTCAACAGTTTATATAGAATAATACAATGCTGTGCTAATTTCTCTCCATTTTGCTGTTTGCTGTATGCCACATTTTCCTTGGTATTCAAATCCCTTTGTCCTAAAAGTATCACTTTTCACGACCTGTGCACTCTAAGCAAGCACTGTCCCACTGTTTTACACGCCTCCAGCTCTTAATCACTCTTTTAATGAAGCTTGACAATAATGTATTTTCTCAAGTTATGCTTGTAAAAGCTTCATCTTGTCTTTACTAGGAAGTAGCACATTGGTACAAGGTTCTCAATGGATAGTTATCTTGCCCTTGGTGCTTTGAAAGCAAATCACATGATCTGACATTCATCCTGCCCAAACGGTGTATCAGTCTTGCAGTATGTTGGGACATTTTCTTCTCTTAAGATGTCCCCTGGCTTCCATCATTTTAGAGCAGTGCTCATTGGTTTTGAATGTGGACTAATTTCCATTTGTACTTGTTAGTTCCATGGATGCACTTTAGGCCCATGCCTTCCTTTGGTTCTCCTTTGGTTTTCAAGCTACGTGAGAAGGACTGAAAGATGGCTAATGTCACAGGTGTGCTTAAAGGTAAGCACTCTCTGGATCAATAAGCAGTTTAATACAATGTGAAAATGAGGCCCCTTTCCCCAGAAACCCTGTTTCAGGTACTGAGAATCATCAGAGTTCCAACTTTCCCCAGCTGCTGCTTAACTCCGTGAGAGAAGGGCAGCAGCCGTCTTTATGAAGCCTATCCCCACCTACTGTCTACAGGGTGTTTGGGAGTATAATGTAAAGGCAAAGGGCTGGAGAGATGGCTCAGTGGTTAAGAGCACTGGCTGCTCTTGGTCCTCTTAGAGGACCTGGGTTCGATTTCCACATGGCAGCTAACAACTGTCCTAACTCCAGCCCCAGGGGATCCAACACCCTCTTCTGACCTCTGCGGGCATTGCATGACACGGGTACACTTACACACATTCAAGCAATACAGTCATACACATAAATAAAAATAATATTTTTTTTTAAATGCGGGGGATAAGAGATGAGCTTCAAAAAATTCAGTATAATTTTTCTAATTTTCTGATAAAAGTGTTAGTACAGACTTCTGCATTAGCATTGACAGAAAAACCTAGAATACCTCAATTTCAGTGAGATCATTTGTAAGCAGTATAACGTACTGAGTTAAATGTCCTATGGGCTGGTTCTCTTTCACTTGCATCACCTCATTTGAAAGTTTACTAAAGGGTGAGCCTGAAATGATGTTTGTCACAAAAAATTCTGACCGCTTTTATGAGTTGCCCAATACTTCAGAAAACACTTATTTGATTACTTGGGTAGACCTCAGCTTTTATTTTCTGATAAATGTCATCCTCTTTCTCATTAAGTAATTAAAAGAAATCTGATTACTCTAATTCTTACCAGCTCAAAACCATATGATTTCTTGGACTTAAACTCAACAATACTCAACAATGGGCCATGTGCAATTTTCCAGTTTCAGGTCAGGATCAGAGTCCTCATTCCTGATCAAAGTTTCCATTTATTAGATCTAATTTAGCAGATAACTTTTACATTCATTTAGGGCCGTTTCCTTTTCCCCACAGTGACCCCCCCCCCAGAAATTAAAAAGTACAGAAAGAATGAGAAAAGGAAGAGAGATACCCAGAGTACATACATGCAAAATTAGCGTAACTGAAAATAGAAAAATGTCCACATGCCTAAGACCTCAATATGGAGGCCTCCACCACCACTGTAGAGGACCCCACTGTGGAGGGCCCTCAAAGGCAAACACAATTCTCCTTTCTGTAGAATCCCAATCCCTAGCATTCCCTGTGAGGGGTGAATCTCAGATAACTCACACAAAATAGAATTTAAGATTTGGCTCACTGAAGTTTGTTCATTGAAAGTAAATATATAAGGCTATGTTTATTTGCCTTCAGGGAAAAAAGAAGATCCAAAGTTAGAATATTAATATGCCAAGAACATTTTGGAACACACAGTTGGCTTTCTGCATGCCCAGGATCTACATATATAAATCAAAAATAATGAAAAATACTGGGGAGAAAACTGCATCTGGATTAAACACACACAGATTTTTTTGTACTACCACCTCCTAAACAACAGTGTGACAACTGTTTCCATTGCACCGCACTGGCTCAGGAACTATTAGCAAGACAATGGACATGGGGTGATAAACACAGGTTCCTGGAAAATGGATACTGTATTAAGGACTTGGGGTTCTCTTCGGATTTTAATATCTACAGGAGATCTAGGACCTAATGGACACTAAAGACCAATATACAGTCCTTGTGTGGCTGCAAAGCTATACTTAAGAGTTTTTCTCCATTCCTTACCTGGATGGTTTCTTGATCGTGAAAATCTTGGCCTTGACAGGCCTTTCGAGCCAAGCGTTTTCTGCTCCACTTTGCCCTAAAAGGAAGACAAGAGGGTGAGAGGAGGCACTGCACACATCCCTGACACTTCCTCTTTTTCTCAGCTCCTCATTTCTTTAATTTAGTTTTGAACAACAGCTTAAAATATGTAGTGGAAGGGAAACCAATCATGAAAAGTTGTAATCTGTTGTCTAGAGTTAGAAGCGGTTCCTGAATTTTGTCTGTAGTTGATATTTGGTTTTGTCTCTGTTTTCCTTGAATAGTAATTCAAAAAGGAGGCTTGTCAACTGCTCGGTGGAGGTAATGAACTTCCACAATCAACATTCCAAGAAGCACATGCACTTTCTAGAACTACTACACCAACCATAGCCCTCTGCTACCTGGGTCAGAACCCCCAGAGTGGAATACTGGGAAGTTCCTTCCAAAGGGTGAGTCAAAAATTAAAACAGCAATATCAAGATTCCAAAGCCTCAATTCTAGAAAAACATATAAACACCTCAAAGACATATTAAAATATGGATGTAAATATGCCATTTAATATCCATATGCTTACAAAAAGAGCAGTCATTATTGGAGGGAAGGTATCAAACAATCTCTTACAAATATGAAAAATCTGTGAGATTCTTTTAAAGCACATATACTACCTCTATAATTAGAAAAGTTTTGAACTGTGCCAAAAGTACAGAATGTACATTTAAGTGTACTCATGAATATACAGTAACAAACATCATACAAATGCTCTTTGACTTACAGTGGAATCATATCCCAATTAATCCATTGTAAATACATAATATTTGAGGTGAAAAAATGCACTAAATATGCCCAACTTACTGAATGTCATATTTGGGACATAGTTCCCTATAGAGTACCAGCTGTCTCTCAGACAGAGTGGAAGCTGTGGCTCACCTTCATCTCCTAGCATCGCAAGACAGCACCATGTTGCATGGCACTAGTCCAAGAAAAGATCCAAGTTCAAAATTTGAAACATTCTTTACTGAATGTGCATCACTACCACACCGTCAAAAAGTCAAAACCTTATTAAGCAGAACCATCATGAACTGGGTAACGAACATTTACAGTTGGTTAAGAGCAACTGTGGAGCTACTGATCCCTCCTAGCATGTCAAGATACTGTAGCATGTGACTCTTCATTAGTGTCAAGAATGTTTTAGAATACACAATTGGTCCTCTAGGCTCTGGTACTATGGCCATGGATTCAATCAACTGAACTGAGAATATTAAGGAAAAGTGTATTGGTACCTGTGGATGGTGAGCTAAAATAAAACTCCTATATAATTTACCTAACCAGTGGTATTTTGTTAGTCACCACAAAAATGAACTATTGCAAGTGCTGTTGAATTTCCTGGGAATTGATGGCAAGTAACAAGTTGTTCATAGTAGTAGTATATCTCAAGAGTAAGCCTGGTATGCTTGTGTGCTGACACAACCAAGATGCCGACAGCTATTGCTCTGCCAGGCTAGGCTGTAAGGGGATGGGGAGGCAGAGAAAGGTTCTCATCTTCACATACCATTCCCAGTACCAAGGGCAGTCACCAGATTAGGACATGAACAATCTGGCTGCATAGCTCTCACTCGGTTCTTCCCACTCAAATCGCCCAAAACGGTCCAGGAGACACAAAAAGAGCATACTGGTTTCATGAAGTTTGACAGAAGGAGCCAGAGTACAGGGTTATGATCACACTTCATTCTTTGAATGCTTCTTAGCAAGTGGCTTTTCTTCCCAGAGCCTTCTGAAAAACTCGCCCATGAAATGGGACCTATATCACTGATGCTAACTTCTCCTGTGTCACATGCACACTAGTTTTCAAGTGAAGAGCTATGGTTGACTCCAAGCTGGACTTTGGGGCATTGCCAGTGGGGGGAAGGTAGAATGAAACCTGGGGCGGAGATACCAAAAGTCAGCTCATCTACAAGCATACTTCAGAGGAAGGCAAAGTCTCATCCATACCTTCCTCCAGAAAATACAGAGAAACCAAAACAAAATCCTAAGGAAGGGACCACATGCCCACTGGCACCTCCTTCCTCCTTCCCCTTTGAAAGAAATAGCTTTCTATCTCTTAAAAATGAATTAAAATATGAAGGAAAAAAAACCCTCACTCTACTTATACCACAAGTATTTATTCCTATCCATACTTCATACAATATTTAAGAAAAATACAAAACCTAGTATGTGATTATATACAAGTTCTATTATTTATAGAGCAGATGTAATATCTTAGAGTCACATAGGTCACAAATGATCCTAGTTTCTTAATAAAGAATATATAATCCTATTTTATATACTAGTCTTTGAAATGTTTAATGTCAACAACTGCCATTGGAAGACGTTTCTTCATAGATCCAGCATACTTTACTGAAATGTATCATTTATTTAGCCAGTATACTGATGAACACACACATTTTTAAACATATTCAAATGCTACATAAATGTAGGATCTAGGATGTCCCCCAAAGGCCCATGTGTGAAGGGAGAGAGGATGTAACCTTTAGGAGGCAGAAAGTTTTTATAAGATAGGAGAGCAAATTGTTTGAAGGCTACGGTGTCCAAGGAGGCAAGGAGATGCCTCCAAAATTCAGTGCTGTGGTGTTGAAATGGCAACTGGAGTCTTGGGGCTGTGTTGAGAAGATGGCTTCCCCCAGCCTAGTGGATTAAGCAGACTCTCCCTTTTGGAGGTGGGCCCATCTAGTTTCTGCAAGTCCATAGGAAAGGTTTCCTTATCTAATTTTTCTTTATTATCCAAGAGAAACTCCTTTTCCTTGTTTCTGAATTTTAAGCAAATCGCATTAAAATTTTAGAAATACAGAGTAGATATAAAATTTAAATTAGGCTAAGTCCTATGGTGCTAGGATAACAGCATTTTTGTGGTCTCTCACCTTTTATTTTACATATAACTAGACACTGTGGAAATCAGATTGTATTGACTATTTTGTTCTACCCTGTAACCACCCACAACTAACAAGCTATTAAATGTTAACTTTGGAAAATATCATTTTTGGCTATTCAGAACTACCCTAGTAGACCCTTTCTAGTAGTTTTTAATTCTTAGGTTAAAATACACAATGATCAAAAAAATATCTCTGGGAATGGAAATATGCCCACATTTCTGATTATTCACTTGGATCCTTAGAAGTAGAAAGACAGACTAAAGGTCAGGTTCTTTTTGAGAACTGTGGATATATGTCAAACTTTGTGTGCTTGTTTGCCGAATGACTGACTGACTACAGGACCAGAAGCTGACTCTAGGACCTTGTGCTTGCTACTTACCCAGTCCCCGTGTTTTTTGCTTTTTGAGACAGGGTCTTTAAAAATTATTTTTATTTACTGTGTGTGGGAGTAGTGGTGCATGCCATGGCACATATGTCAAAGTCAGAGGACAACTTCATGGAGTCCGTTCATTCCTTCCTCCTTAATGTGGGTCCCAGAGATCAAACTTGGTTGTCAAAGGGCAGCAAGCACCTTTACTCACTGAGTCATCTCGTCAGCACAAGGTCAAGTTGCCCAGGCAGGTCTTGAACTTGCAATCCACCTGCCTCAGCCTCCCCAGTAGCTAGGATTATAGTCTTATACCACCAGGCTTGGCTGTGAAACTCTTCTTCACTCAATTTGCCCTTTTACCTTGAACAAAGTAGGAACTATGGGTTTTAGAACACAAGAAGCCAGGATTGTGACCAGTTGTTTCTAGAAATTATTTTCTTCCCAATTCTAGAGAAAAGTCGTGGCCTCATTCAATAGTTACCATATGTGGACCTTTAACACTAAGGCTGAACAGTTTTGGGGGAGTTCCATATTCTTTCTTTTAGACCCTTCTTAGATCAACTAGGTGGGACCAACTAGACTAGCCCTAATTTCTGAGGGTGGAAGAGCTTTCCAATCTGAAAGGTTTGTGAATGAATCAAAGTCCAGTTGCTCAGCAGGAGCTGAGATCTGAGTGCTAGTTACTTGGAGCCTCAGCCAGATGGCTGATGTGTAAAATGGGTTAGAGAACCTTGGGGGTAACAACCGGTAGGCTTGGTTACAACATGGGGCCAGCTGCGTCTGCACCGGGGCCTGACCATATGCTGGTCCACTGCATCCTATTTCTTATGTTTTCTATGAAGAATCTTTGATGTTTGAGGAAACTAAGTTTAATGTCACTTGGAGCAAATGCTTTGCCCACCTGGTTTGATTTTAGATATTATAAAATTCTTGATCCTTAAAATTTCATTCAATGTAGACAGACAAGTTAGTTGATCTTTTGTTTTCAGTTCATTTTCAACCTGAAAATTGTTTTCTTCCTCTATTGGAAAAATTGAAACATTCACTTGAATTTAATTCTAATTTCCTTTCTGACTTGATATACTATTCTTTCACGTATTTGGCATTTATTTTGGTGGTCAGTAGGAGGAGAGATTATGCATATGTTACACAATTTGTGCTAGCAAGTTTTCTGTTACTGTAATGAACACTTGGGTAATAAGCTTATGAGAAAAAGTTTAAATTGAGTCATAGTATTTTTTGCTTTGTTTTTGAGACAGGGTCTCACTATGTAGACCAGGTTGGCCTTGAACTCACAAACTCACAGAGATCTGCCTGCCTCTGCCTCCCTAAGTGCTGATATTAAAGGAGTGTGCCACCATGCCCAGCTTGCCCCACAGTTTTAGGCATTCGGTCCATGACTGGTTGGCTTCATTGCTTCTGGGCTTCTGATGGGATGTCAGGCAGCAACGGCAGAGAGCACACAGTGGAGCAGAGCATGCTGCATGGATAAGACTTGAGAGAAAGTGGGAAAAGAGGGCCAGAGACTCAGAAGGCTCCCTCCTTCAAGATAGGCCCCAAAGACTGAACATCCCTCCCTCAGCCTGATCTCTTGGAGGTTCTACCAGCTGCCAATGGTGCCACCCAGGAAATCAAACCCTTAACACGGGAGCCTCAGGACAAAAAATAACTTGTGAGCTGAAGCACTGTTTGCCACCCAGTCCTTTATGCCTGCTTGACATTACTGTGCACACATTAAAACCCTCACATAAGATCATCTCC